CCACCCGCCCCACCACGCCCCGCCGAGCCGGCCACTCATCGCCGCCCTCTTGCCCATCAATTACGCGTCGGGTGAAGCCTTGCGAGAATTAAGTGAGTAATGACGATGGCGGAACAAGTGGCCTCTAGTCTCAATAACCACCGTGTGTGTGTTTGCGCGGGAGATTTGAACGACTCGCGCCTTTTGTTTGAACCTGCGGCCACGGCCACTCTCCCTGTGTGTGTCGCGCGGAAGTCAGTCTTTGTAATTTGACTCTTTACAAAACAGAAAGGCGGGGGTCTCTCTTTTGAAACTCAAGATTTAATTTGGTCGTTGCTTCTGCGTGGAACGAGTGCGTCCCGCTGGCTGTGAGTTTTCTCAGTTGGAAATATATAAAAGCAAATTGTAAGTACCTCCGTGCTCTGGCTCTCGCTTTTCAAGTTGACTTGTGTGAGTGTTTAGTGTTCAAACTTCGTTCACTTCTTTTTCCTTTTTTTAAAATATTTTCTTTTAATTTTTCGCTCTTGTAAGATAGCCATGAAGTAGTTGAAAAATACTTATCATCCTCTGCATTGCATATTTGTTTTGATTTAAAGAAATATCTTTTTAATAATTTATAGAGAATAGGGGTTGACAAAAGGTAAACATGGTTTATATAAAACAGAAGTTTATTAACAACTCCTCCACATATCTGAAGAACTCAATATAATAATAATAATAAGTCTTACGTTTAATAAGAATAGGAATCTTTGAGCTGAAATAAAATGCACATTACAATATTAACTTAGTGAGAACACTACAGCTATATCACATTTACTCAATCCATCTCCACATTTATAACAAGTACCTGCAGGGCAATCGCCGGGCAGACAATATAACAGCAATAAACTCAAGTCCACGTCGCAAGTTTACTTTTTTGTACAAAAAAAAAAAAGAGAAATATATACCCCTGCGTTTACGGCCGCAGTGCGCCCTACACCGTCCAGGTGCCATGGCACATCTCCACAGGTGATCACTAATTACTATCAAGTCTTTCTAACAACTTCTATAAGATAAGCACTTGCACCACACATCACAAGAGTACAGCGAGTACAAGAAATCATTAACTGAACACTGACTGAATGGCAGAACTTCTTTGGCCACCATCAACGCACACTGCTGAGATCGGGAACACTCAACCATCATCACAGTCGGCAACACAAACATTCGCACACGCACACACTCACAGACACATTCATTCGAACACACACACACACACTTACACAAGCTCACTGTCACTTAGTAATGCACAGGCACTGGTCTTCGCAGCTGGTCAATGTCGAGGTGTGCGGAGGAGCCGAATCCCATGGGGCTGCCCTCACCGGGGCTGGAGCCGGGGCTGTGCTGTCCGGGGTGTCCAGGGTGTCCAGGGTGGCCGTGGAACATGGACAGGTGAGGTGGGAACAGGGCGGACAGCGACTTGGGCTGCCCCATGGAAGCCATGCTCGACACCATGCTGGAGGCCATGCTCGACGCCATGCTCGAGGCCATGGTGGAGGCCATGGTCGTGGTCACGCTGGGGTTGGGGTGGTACAGCGACGAGTAGAGCGAGCTGACGGCCGCCGCGGCGCCCTGGCTGCTGTCCTTGCCGCCGCTCGAGTTGGGCGACGCCTGCTGCTGTCCCATCAGCTTGCTGAAGTGCATGGGGTCGAAGGCGGAGCCGAAGTAGGGCGGGATGGCCGGGAGGCCCTGGGCCAGCCCCATGTCGAGGTGGTGCGGGTGCGTCGGCGCGGGGCCCGACGCGAAGTAGGGCGGCAGCGCGAAGCTGGGGAAGCCTCCGTTGGGGGCGCTGAGGGGCATGCCCTTGCCGGCCATGGCGGGACCGAGGTGCTGCTGCTGGGCGGCCTTGGGCTTCCTGCGCGGCCGGTACTTGTAGTCGGGGTGCTCCTTCATGTGCACGGTGCGCAGCCGCTTGGCCTCGTCGATGAACGGCCTCTTCTCGGACTCGGACAGCAGCTTCCACTCGGCGCCCAGCCGCTTGGAGATCTCAGAGTTGTGCATCTTGGGGTGCTCCAGGGCGATCTTGCGGCGCTGGATGCGCGACCAGACCATGAAGGCGTTCATGGGCCGCTTGATGTGCTCAGAGCCGGGGGTGGGTGGCGCGCCGGGCGAGCGCGGCGACGGCTGCTGCGGGGGGCTGAGGCTGCTCATGGGCGGCGACATCTGCTGGTGGTGGTGGACGGGCTCCTGCATCGGCGACGGCGGCATCTGCGGCGACGGCAGCGGCGGCGACAGGGCGGGCTTCACGTCGGCCAGGGGCAGGACGGGCTTCATGTCCACCAGCTGCTCCGACATGTGGTGGTGCATGCTCTGCATGTAGTCCATGGCCTGGTGGTGGGGCATGGCCATCTGGTGGTAGTTGTACTGGTGCTGCTGCATCGTCAGGCTGGCCGTCGACATGGCGACGATCACACGCGGGGGCACACACACAAAATCAACAAAAACACGCGAGGAGGCTGCACTGGCAGGAGAGGTGCTCGCGGGGCAGCGGCTGACTGCGGACTGACTGCTCCGGCGGCCTCCAGGTGGGGTTCCAGCTCCAGCGCGGCCCCCACCCGACCCGGCTCCCCCCACCAGCGCTCTCGCCCAATGGCAGCCCGGCCGCACAGTCCCCGCCTCGCGCGCCCATTGGCCGTGGCTGGCGGCGGTGGGGGGTCGGCGGGCGACTGCAGCGCGCCGCGCGCCCGCCACCCGCACCCGCGGTGCGCCAGAGTGAGAGGGAGAGAGAAGGGGCTCCAAACACGCAACACGCATCCTACAAGGAGCACTTGTCGACCGCACCACAGCAGGTTGCTCTTTGTCATGCAGAGTAATTGTGTGTTAGGGATGCCGAGATTTTTTTATTTTTTTTTGAAAGTGGAAAAAAACATTAACGCGAGGCTTATTTCAGAGCTTGTTACAGAAGACAATGCACCTCCTACCTACCGCCGCCTACGTATACACGGTCCAACAACCGGTGCATCCCCACATGAGGCGGTGCGCGCAGATAATCCTACGTCACACTGGAAAAACAAAGGTGCTAAGTCCGGCTAAGTCGTACCTTTCCATGGTATCATTTTGACTGCTTGTTCGGATTGGGGCTGATGAGGATTTTCAGTTTATTGCCTCTATAAGGGTGCTAAATAAAACCTTGACAGTTTGTGCTACATACTCTTAACGCCGCACTAAATGACTTCGCGGTCGATAAGAAAGCTTCCAGCTTCCCCACCGAGTTCTTCAAGAGATTGCACATTTTTGATTGAGTTTAAACTCTGTTTTTCTGTTGTTGTAATTTTTATCTGTCGTTTATTCCCTCCTCTTTGGTAAATCTCATCGTGTCGCTCCCTCGAAAGCAAAGCGCACACTCAGGACCTAAGCCACACGGAAGACCGCCCCATCCAAGCCGTTGCACTGTTTTAATTGGCTTACTCTCTCACACACACACACACACACAAAAAGGAAAATACATGCCGAATTTGACCCATTCATGGCCATGCTCGTTATTCATCCTGTTTGTGGGGTTCAGAACGCAACTTTAGGGCGACACACAGGCGCCTTAGCGCAGCGTGTCGGGGAGGGGCGGAAAGAGAAGGAAGTGCCCTGGCACATGCACCCCCCCTTCCCTCCCACCTTTGCGACCGCCAATGAAATATGTATGGAGAGCTACGAAAGAATAGGTAATTGTAATGACCCATATTTAAGTGTATTTACCCACGAGACTTATCGGGCCAGGCTAACCTCCATGTGGCGGGCCTTACAACACGTGTGTGGCCAGCCTAGGCAGGAGAGCCTGGCG